ATCATTGAGTATGCACGAAAAATTATTTCGTTGATTATAAAGATATACAGATAATAAAGAGAGAGAGAGAGAGAGAGAGAGAGAGGGAGGGGGGAGGAGAGGGGAGGCTGAAAGAAAAGAGTATGAAAACTGAAGAAAATTGAAAAATGCAAGCTGCGTCTAATCGACGATCGAGGACGATTTGTGATTGGAGCGCCGTGGTCGAGAATGGAGGATAAATTTATCCGCGTCGCGAAGAGGAATGCGGCAGAAGCGTGGAGGAAAAGTAGCACGAGCACCGCGGAACGCCGCAGTCGCATTTCCGGTTTAAATTTAACGTGATGATACGCGCACTTTCGCAATTAGCCGATATGGAGACTGTTAAATTTAACAGGAGGTTTGTTGGAGAATAAGAGAGAATTAATCTTATCGCTTGGCTTGCTTATATGCGAATCGTGAACTCTTCCATTTTTTCGTTGCAATCGGCGTTTTGTTCATTGTGAAATATTTTTGTAAAACTCTAATTACAGCGGAGATCTCTCGGAGTTAGCCTTTCACCGGAAAAAAATCTGGTTGCATAAATTGGAAATCTGTTAGATTTTAACCAGTATGTTTATTGATAAATAAACGAATAGAGCTTTTTCTATCATTAGAGCCTTAAGAACACAATTTTGAGATTATTTTTCTTGAAATTATCAGACGAATATAACTAATATTAACTTCTGTTAAATATATAAGAATTTCTCAATAACCTTTCTAAATTCATTTTGAAAGTCATAATATCCTTTTAATGAAAAAATATGTAATGAATATAGAAGTTTTATAGATTTAACCTGAAAGTACTAATCGAATTCTTATTAATTAAGTCTATCAAATATTTTCGTTACAAAACATCAAATGTAATTATGGTAATTAGAAATTATGATTGGTCTCATCAAACGTACGTCTTGCTGGTATAATTAAGACATTTTTCTTAACTATTCACGTGCAGTAAAGGAAGATAGATTAAAATCTCAGCTATAGCTGTAATCAGTATACGAAAATGAACTCTCACTCACTTGCGATTAAATCGCAAATTAGATGCTCTCATAATCAGTAACAACGATAAATGATATTCTGTAATAATTAATACTTGCAAGCATGCTGATGCCTGCATCACTCATGCAACTTGCTCATTTTATTCACGCCCAAAATATTTATCACATTATTTTTATTATTTACACAACGCACAGCTATTATATTGGCAATGCGAACCAATTTGTTAGATATTGACGCATCTACGCACAATCGGATTATTAAATTTTCGCTTCGTGGGAAAACATCGCGCATTAATAAAAACACAATCAGTTATTCCCGATGCGAAATTCGTTCATTTACATTTACGGTTAACTTCGTAACTGCATAATTGCGATTAAGCGTAATGCTCTCTTAATAACATCTCGTTACACATGATGATGCGTAAAAATATATCACTGAATACTTTCCAATATTCCATATGTCATATTGTCACTTTTTATTACGAAAGCAAATTCATCATGTAATAATCCTATAACGTTCCACGAATAAATGAGTCATGGTATAACGCTGACCTATAGAAGCTCGTGATTCATAGCTTAACATTTACCTTCGCTAAGTAACAATTATTAGACGCGCTTTACATAAAGATATGATACAACTGTGTAACTCCTTTTCTAAATAATAACAAACAGTTCCCTCTCGATCTTTATATAATAATTACAAAATTTTTCTATTTCTTTTTTTAGCAAGTAATATAATTATTGTTATACTAACAGTAAAATATTATTCAACAATAACATTACTAATTTTGGAAAAGTTAAGTAAAATTGTAAAAATACACGACGTTATCGCACTCGTATGATACATTAATAAGATATATTTATTACTTGGAAAAGTCTAAAATTTTCTTTTCATAGAAAAGATCGCCAAGATCTTGTGAGAGTACATTAGAAAAAAAACTGATTGTATAAATTAGAAATCTGATTTAAACGTTGATTTAATCAATGTCCGTTTAAATTTAAATATATGTCCCTTGGAAATGAACAAATTAAAATTTTTGTAAAAATTATTGATGAGTATATGATTAACTCCTTCTTGTTAGACAGAATTTGTTAATAATACGAAATTTATTTATAATTAGGTCAGCATAATTTTTTAGTAAAAAAAATGTCTATTATAATATAACTAAAAGTATAGATCCAACCGAAAATACTAATTAAATTTTTATAGTAAAAATTTATCAAACGTTTTAGCTAATTTATAATAATATTAAGTCTAATCATAATACCTAGAAATATTGTATCGTCTCACTAAAAGTCTCATTTTATCACGTATATAATTAAAACGTTTTTTTTTTAAACATAGAAAAAAGGATTAAACAGTCCAGATAAAATA